ACTATATTATTATTATTATTATTATTAAGGTTATTATCATCAACAACAACAAAAAAAAATAACAATAGCAAAACAAAAAGACTAAGAGGAGAGAGAGGAATGACAAGATTATTATTTTTATTATGTAGGATACACCACTTAATATTGCCTGTAAAAAAGGACGTACAGAAATAGTTGAACTACTACTGGAGCAAAAAGATATTGATGTTACTAAATGTAATAAACACAATAACAATGCTCTAGATGTTGCTGTAATCTTTGGACAAAAGTTAGTATTAAAATTCATTAGTTATGTTTTTTGTCATACAGTATGTTTAATGTAAGTTCTTTCTAATTTAGGGATGCTGCAATGGCTATAGTCAAAAGTGATAAGTGGGAAGATGCATTACGTAGTTATAAAGTTGTGAATAGAAGTGATGATGTTGGAGCAATTAGGAGAATATTAAGTTGTTGCGGAAGGAAGAGAAAGTAAATGAAACTTCTAATGAATTATAGTGATGCCTCTAATGACAGTGATGATGATGATGCTAATGAATCTGTAATACATTTCACAACACCAATGAGAAGGATAATTAAGAAGATGCCAGGTTAATATATGTTATATAAACATGTATATTACATGATTCACTCTGTAGATGTAGCTAAAGTTGTTTTTGATCGCTGCTGTGAGACAAAAAAATCAAAATATGACCTTAATTATGAGATTAATTATAATTATGAATTTCTTGAGGATTTTGATCTGTAAGAATAATGCTAAATCTAAATGAATGATTTTGTTATTTATACTACCTGGTATATGTAATGAAATGCAGACAGACACTAGAAGGAGATCCATCTAGTGACTCAACTATGCAAAGCATGAATGAGGATAATGATGAGCAGCCTGATGCTAAGGTATTGTATAAAAAATGGCCTCCAAAAGTAAAGTACTCTTGTCAGAATCATTGTCTTAATATTCTTGTGAGTTATTAATTTAATAATTATTAGTAGTAATGATTTTTCATAGGCTAATTCACCAAGTACAGACTTATTAAAGCATCCACTGGCTGCTACCCTTCTTGATTTAAAATGGAATAAATATGGACGGATAGTCTATTACACTAATTTGATATTTTACTTTTTATTTGTCATTCTACTGACATCATATGCTCTCACTGTTCATCCTCCAAATTCTAACATATGTAAGTTATTGTAAGTTTAGTTTAATAATTATGCTATTCAAATAGGTATGGAAATATTAAGAAATGACACTGACGCATTTATTGATTGCTCAGGTAAGTGATTATATTTATGTGATTGTCATGTGAGTATCTTGTGTTTAGAGGAAAGCTTTGTATACGTCTCTTTTGCTCATGTATTTGTAATTGTTTATTCTATAATTATGCTAATCCGTGAAATGGCTCAGGTCATTCAGTTTGGACTACAGTATTTTACCAGTTTTGTTAACTTCGTGGAAGTCTCACTATTTATTTTTACTATGATATTTTCATCAGTACGTAGCAATCAGTGCTATTGTACTCATTCATGGCAGTGGCAGATTGGAGTAATTGCTGTATTTCTCAGTTGGATTGCACTCATAATATCCATTAGAAATGCGCCAGTAGTTGGAATATATGTGGCCATGTTTATTAAGATTTTTAACAACTTCATCAAGGTTGTCGTCCTTGCTTTACTATTAATCTCAGCCTTTGCAATTCCTCTTTATATGATGTTTTATGATCCTAAGGATAGAGCAGAAGAAATAGTAAGACTTACTGAAGTTTGAAAATATCACCTCTCTTTCTCGTTTTATAGCGTACTCCATTTATCACTCCATGGAGGACAATTATTAAAACAATAACAATGACAATGGGAGAATTAGATATAGATTCATTATTACGACAGGATAATGAACTTAATGCCCCTGATATACAGTATCCAGTGGTTTCCTTTTTATTATTAATTGTGTTTGTGATTTTAATGCCAATTCTATTCCTTAATTTATTGGTATGTTTATGCTCTATTAATCTACCCACTGATGAACTCATTTTATGTAGACCAGTTTAGCTGTTGGTGACACTGAAGAAATACGAAAATCAGCTGATGCATGTAGGCGCACTCTGAGGGTAACAACTGATTGATTATACATTATATAAATGCTTACAGGTTGAGTTTACACTACCTGTTGAAGTATTTCTAAGAAGCATTAGAAGACGACTGCCAACAGTAATGAAGTTATGGATAGAGAGTCTAGTCACTGTTCAACAAGAACAAAAAGTAACACCAAATGAGGGAAAAGAAGGCATAACACGTGCTATCAGTAAGATTCAAGAATATTTTGCAACTGAACCTGAGGTAAGTGTTGAACAGCTAAGGAGCTTACATCTATTGTAGATATTTTTCAATACAGGAAAATGTAGATGAAGTAAAATATAAGAGCAACCCATTATCTGAGGAAGTGAAGGACCTACACAGTTCAGTATCTGAAGTGAAGGACCTATGCAGTTCAGTATCTCAGGAGATGAAAGACCTACATAGTTCAGTATCTGAGGAGGTGAAGGACCTACGCAGTTCAGTGTCTAAGGAGGTGAAGGACCTACGCAGTTCAATGGATCAGTTGTTAGCTATTGTTAAAAGTATGAATGAAAGACGAGGAGGAGAAGTAAGAGGACTAGAGGAGCAATAGAACTAATGTTTGGGAAGGAAGAGGAAGGAGTTGAACTTTAACTTAGATTTTATTGTGTAGTACATGTATCTGGAAATGCCAAACTCTTTTTATTTTTTATTTTCTTTTTTAGTATTTTTAGGCTATTTATATACCACTAATAGTTTTCATTTTATGCATCCCCTATTATTTTTAATTTGTATACTATTTGGACTAGTATTCCAACATTGAGATATTACTAATAAATATAC